TTAGCCAAGCAAATGGGGAGACAAGAGTTTTCCAGAAAGAAGGAACAGCATGTCCAAGGGCCTTGAGGCAAAAAGATGCTTAGTGAGTTCAAGGAACATAGAACAAGCTAGCAGGGCAAGGATGTAGTGAGCAAGGGGAGAATAACAAAATGAGACTAGAATAGTCGATGAGACAGGTTGTGAGGGGCCATCTTGGCCATACTAAGGAAATTCAGCTGGTTCCCAGAATGGAGTGAAGCCATCAAAGTGGTTCCAAGTAAGTAGTGTCATGATCAGATCTGCAGATGTAAAAGGCTGCTGTACCTGATATGTAGCGAATCATTTGGCAGAGGGCCAGAGGGGGTAATGGTGACAAGGGTGTGGCAAGGACAGTGAGAAGGCAGTGGATGGGACAGAAGTACTTTGAAGATAACTTTGACAGGGCTTAAGTGACTGAGTCTGAAGGATGACTCCCAAGGTTCTGCCATTACTGACATGAAGAAAGATCTGCAGGGAAGATCAAGAGCTCAGGTTTGACGTGTTAGGTAGGAGATTCCTATAGTGATGATGATGATGATAAAATAATAGCTAATTCTCATATTGATCCAAAACTACTAACAATACTATCACCTGAAATGTCTTGAGCCAGGCATTATGCCAAACCCTTTTCAATGCTAAATGTCCTCATACAGTGATCAGCAACCTCTGACATAACAACTCTCATCCCTACCGAAGCATAAAATCCAAGGCCTTGCTGACTGGACTAACAGGGCTGAAGTCCACTGGCCATGGTTTCCTCCCCCATGGACAGTGCTGAGATGGGCACTGCTAACATTTGCTTCTTTAACTTTCCTGCGTGCTTTAATAAACTCCAAATTCTTCTTGCTTGCCCTGTAAGTTTCCCCTATTCCACCCAATTCAGTCAACTGTTTTTCCACTTCTTTCAAAATGATTTTTTATATTTTTCAGAGTGGTACATGCCTTAAGAAAATCAAAGTCTACAAAAAGGCTGTTTTCCTCCTAAGACTGCTCTTAACAAGTTGCAAATGAAACAGATCATATTTCCCTGTTTACAGCCCTCTACATCTATAGATAACCTGTTTGCTCTCAAAGGCCAAACTCCACGTTATAATGTGGCCTACCCTACCTTCCAATCTCATCTAGTACTACTCTCCCTTTTATTACTCTGGTTTTTTTTTTAAGTTTCTCAATTTATAAAGTCATTACCTTATGTTAGCTGAAACACTTTCAGTATCAAATGTAATTTTCATTGCTTTCCATGGATGCCATTAACATGTATATATGCATCCCCAGTGCTTCTGCACAGTTCCGGAGGCTGGGAAGTCCAAGGTTGAGGGGCTGCATCCAGGGAAGGCCTTTTTGCTGCGTCCTCCCATGGCAGAAAGCTTACGACCCTAGTTTTCTCTCTAGTTCCCAAAGCATGCTTTTCCTCAGGGCACTTGCACTTGCTATTCTCCCTGGACTGCCTTTGCATGGTTGCCTCTTCATCCGCTGGTACTCAGCTCAGAGGCCTCCCTGGCTGGAGTGGGCTGCTTCCCTCATTCCCCCAGTGTTACTGTTTATCACAGCATCTGATTTATTTCTTTGATTACATTTGCCACAAGCTATAATATTGTTGGCTAACTCGTCAGGCTTCCTGTAACTAACATATCAGTCCACAAGGACTGATTCCACTCTGTCCCCAGACTTTAGCCCAGTTCGATATGCGGTAGGTGCTCAGTAAATCTGTGCTGTTTGAATGTTGAAAGGGCCTTGCACTTCATCTCAAGGCAGCTTTGTTTCCTGTGTTTCCAGACTTTTTGAACATGCTATTGTATACTCATTGTACTTCTTCGCAGATTACAGACTTTAGAGGGATTTTACTTTTCAGTCATTTCATCTGAAGGTTGGGAAAAAACATATCGAATGTATTATTTGAAAATGTAACCTGATATACCACTTAATTTATTCTGTGTATTAAATCTGAACACAGTGTAGTTCAGTCCTTTTAATAACTGTTAGTGAAAGTGCCATCATCCCCATTTAAGAAATGAGAAGACTGAGAAATGATGGTGTACTTATGTGCAACTGGAAGTCATCAAGTCCCCAGAACCCTCTCAATGCGTGATGTAACCTTGTGCTCATTTGCCTCAATTCCACACAATTCTAGAACCTATTGGGGCTGGCCTCTGGATTTGGGATGAGATACCTTTATAACTTTTGTTTTCCTGAGTATTTTCATTTTTAGACCTGTGGAAAAATTGAAAGAATAATACAATGAATGCCCATATGTAAACCATTTACCTTGATTCATTAGCTGCTAGGATTTTGACAGCTGGTTTATCTGTTCTTCCATTTATATGCCATTTTTTCTGAAACAGTTAAGTTGTACTGTCATAATTCTATTAAGTACTTCAACATGTATCTCCTAAGCATAAGGATATTGTACTTCATACCACTATGCATTATTATACTCATGAAACTTGTTCTTTTTTTTTTTTTTTTTCCTGACAGAGTTTAGCTCTCTTGCCCAGGCTGGAGTACAGTGGTGCGATCTTGGCTCACTGCAACCTCCACCTCCTGGGTTTAAGCAAGTCTCCCACCTCAGCCTTCCGAGTAGCTGGGATTATAAGCATGCACCACCATGCCTGGCTAATTATTTTGTATTTTTAATAGAGACAGGGTTTCACCATGTTGGCCAGGCTGGTCTTGAACTCCTGACCTCAGGTGACCCACCCACCTCAGCCTCCTAATGTGTTAGGATGACAGGCATGATCCACCACAGCCAGCCATGAAACTTATTCTTGATAGATTATCTATTAATAGTGTCCCAATAATATCCTTTGTAGGTGGTTGATTTTGGATTGAGCCAGGATACAGTCAAATATGAAGCATTGTACTTGGCAGTCATACTCCTTGGTCTCCTTTAGTGTAGCACAGTTCCCAGCTTTTACTTGTCTTTCATAATAGACTTTTTTTAAGAGTCCAGGCCAGTTATTTTGTAGAATGTCCCGTAATTGGGATTATCTAATTGCTTACTCATGAGTACACTCATGTTAAATACTATTGACAAGAACATGGAATAGACCAGGCATGGTGGCTTGGTGCCTCACACCCATAATCCCAACACTTTGGGAGGCCGAGGCAGGTGGATCACTTGAGGTCAGGAGTGTGTATATGCTACATACACACACATACCCCTGAGACTGGGTAATTTATAAGGAAAGAGGTTTAATTGGCTCACAGTTCTATAGGCATAAGGCATAGCAGCTTTTGCTTCTAGTGAGGCCTCAGGAAACACAATTGTGGCTGAGGGGGAAGCAGACATGTCTTATATGGCCAGAGCAGAAGGGTGAGGAGGTGCTACATACACACTTTGAAACCACCAGACTTCACAATAACTATCACTAGAATGGCACCAAGCAGATGGTGCTAAAACCATTCCTGAGAAATCACCCCCATGATCCAACCATCTTCCACCAGGCCCCACCTCCAATATTAGGGATTACAATTTGAGATTATCTAATTGTTTACTCATGATCACACTCATGTTAAATACTATTGGCTAGAACATAGATTAGATGAAGACATCTGTTTCCTTCTTTTTTTTTTTTTTTTTTTTTTTT